CGCCGATCCACAGGATGGTCTCGGTCGTGGAATTGTCGATCCAGTCGAGCGGCGACGCGAACGCGAGCGAGAAGGCGACGAGGCCGTAGAGCACGAGGAGGACGCGGAAGAGGTAGTAGCCGTGCGTGGCCAGGACGCCGCCGAGAAGCACCATACCGAGCGCGGTTACGATGCGGACGCCCACGTTAGCCCGTTGTAGTAGAAGTACAAGACCGTCGACGGTAGCGAAAGCGCGTCGCCGCGGACTAGAGAGCTGTAGAGCGCGACGCAGGCTGGTGTCGGGTCCCGGGACCCGTGCGTGTAGTTGGTGCACGAATAGATAAACCCGGTCGGCGACGAGCACTCGTCGGCGTGCGACGCAAAGAGGCACGCGTCGGTCGTCGCGTTGGCCGTCACGCACTCGAGGCTGTGGTTGCCGTTGGTGAGCCGCGCCGTGACGTAGCGCGACTCGGACGCGACGCACGTCCACTGGGTCACGTCCACGGACGGTCCGAGGAGCGGTGGCGGGGCGGCCTGCGGGAGCGACACGAGGATCGCAAGGGTGAGGACGAGGAGGCGTCGTCCGCTGATGGGCATGGTGCTTTGACTAATGATTGTGGCTGACGCGCCCGATCACCATCGATCAACCTGTGCTCGTCGAAGGTGACGGGCGTTCGTAATGCGCCGCCTGTCCACGCAGCACCCATCCATCCATCCATTCTCGCGTCCGAGAACGGAGAGCTTGGAGGCACCATGCGCAGACACCCGACGTCCGATCTTCTTATAGAAAAGACGATGACGCTATAGAGTGCAGACACCACGTGGCGCGCTGGACCAGCAGCTAGCACTCACGTTACCAGTGTATCACAACTGCAATCTGGCTGCCGCAAGGAGACCAACATTCTGCTGTCTACCAATTCTCGAATGATGGTGGCATTGGCGACGCACACAATGCAGGAGCAATCCTAGATCAAACCAGTGCTGCAACAGCGCAAATATGGAGGTGCGAGAGTACATAATTGGCGCGCTCCAGTGATATTGGATTCGATCCAATGCCAGCTGATTGGACAACTTTCATGGCGCGGATAGCTGCATTGAGAAGCTCTCAAAGTCAACAACAGAGCTGTAGGACCAGAGACGACGCAGCTGCTCTTGTTCGATTGCTGAAGTACTGTCCGTCATCTGCCAACTTGGCACGTGCAATTTCTGAACGGTTGACTCAGATGCCGTCCTTGTGTGTGATTGTCGATCGATCAATCAAACGTGTTCGCGGTGAAATCAAATACATGTTCGCAAAAACCAACTCCAAGACCTCGGATTGACGTACCTGGCTGGCGAGGTCTTGGAGCTAGTTTTTCAAACTCAGCCGGTATCGCCTGCGGTTCTTAGGTCATGGCGTATCCTGAAGCAATTGGGCACAGGATGCCCCGTCGCACGTACTAGTACCAAGTAACAAGCTCCAACACGTTGGCCATTCATAGCCGCTCGTTCTACAGGAGTAGCGATCGGGACCGACCATTTATGGGGGCGCGCTTCTTGTTGTCAAGGTTGCATCTGTAGATCGTCATCGTCGGTTTTTGAGAATTCGTCCCAGTGTGTGCCACGCTTCTCGACGACTGGAACGACGGGCTCCACGCGTCACGGCCCCACCGCAAGACTTGCTCCGCTTGTGACCGCTTCGCCAACTCGTCAGTTTAGTTCGTTTAGATATACGAAGGACTGGACTAATGGGGGGGAGTTTCCACGCGGGTCACGCCATGCGTGTGATTGGTTTAAAATAAACGAAATACGGTGCTTGGCGACCAATCCAATTTTCGTATTTAACAGCATTATAGCCAATGGCATGCGTGCTTGAATTTCCCTATACTAGGTCGGTTGTGATTGGCGCCGAGTCGGCACGTTGGCTATGGCCCCGAGCATGGAGGTCAACTTCAGCCTCGGCTTCAAGAGCCCGTGCTTCTTCACGATGCTCAACCTCGCCGGGTACCAGATCCCGCTCCTTGAGCGCAACGTCGTCGAGTGGTGCGAGCGCATCGTCGCCGTGCTCAACAAGGAGCGCATGGAGGGCACGCTGGACGCCATTGTGCATGCGCAGCTCGACGCGACAAGGCGCCCGCTTTTCGCGATCAAGATGGTCTCGAGCTTTGCCAACGATGGCACGTCGTCGCCGCGCATCATGCTCGGGTCGGAGCAAGGCGCCGCGGTCACGCTCACGCACCAGATCGCGGTCGCCCTCGTCGACGCCATGATGAGCGCTGAAGCGCCGATTAGCGCGAAAGACCTCGCGACGACCAAGCGCCACATCGCACAGCTTCAGAAGCGCATTGCCAAGGCCGCTCCAAACGACAAGGTGTACGCGATGATTGCAGAGCGCAAGTACAGCGAGACCCGAGCGAAACTGCATCCATCAACATGATTCTTGGTTCCCCTCTCGATGGCATCCCGACAGCTTTGCCTCGAATCTACACGTTGATGCATATCTGGTCACGGTCAACCGCACACTCTGATTTGCATCCTCCCGCGGACAAGACAGACACTAGCAACCTCATACATGTAAGCATCCATCCTTGCATGTACCAGTCCCTTTCAGTCGCTGACGCCGTTCGCGATGGCCGGTCCTGACGTATCTGGTAACTATACCCCGGCCCGGTCCATAGGAACCAGTTCAGTTGGCACGCATTCCTCGTAATACGCGTCTATATATAGCGTCTCTGTGTCTACTAGGCTCTAAATAGATGTCATTTGGCTTGAACTGTGTGCTACGATGTGGGGCTTTGCATCGGTGACGCCCGTCGACATCGTCGCCGAGGGCTTCCTTCTCTACTCGTCTCCGCGGTACGACCTGCTTGTACCTTGTGCTGCATTCCACAGGTGCGCTAGGCATCCAACGCCGACGGCGCGCTGGTGTGTACTGGACGGCGCGCGCCATACGCTCACCAAGTACGAGAGTGCCAAGCGGTCTCGATTGCTTGGCGGGTCCAT